ACCGGCGAGACCGCCGCCGTCAGGTACAACCCGCGCCAGGCGTGGTACTACCTCAGCGGCATGACGGGCAGCGAGAGGCTGCTGCTCGAGTGCTTCGACAGCGAGTCGCTGAAGCCGGGGAGCCGCATCGGCGGCCGCGTGCCGCACACGGCCTTTGTCGATCCGAGGACGCGCCCGGGTGCCGAGGGCAGGGAGAGCATCGAGGTGAGGGCCTTGGTGTTTGGGCCGTGACGTGGGCAGGTTTCTTTTGCTTTTATTATTTTGGTCCTTGGCATCTTCTCGAGCTGGGAGTTTTTTTTGTTTTTTTTTTTTTTTTTGGGAGCAATTTTTCAGCATCAAGTCGTTACATGTATTTTTTGGTGTGTGGCCCAACATGGATCAATTTCAACGCCCAGGTAAACATCTATATGCCTGCCAGCCAAGTAACATCAATGGCAATGCGCGGCCCAACCAGAATGGTGAATCAAGTCAATCTAGGAAACCATGACATAAAAGAACAGAACAGAACAAGGGGGCAGGTAGAAGTAACAAGTAGACCCTTGTTGTCCAAAGCCAGAATAATCAATGTAACCCTCCCCTTCTGCCGGCACAAAGCAAGTGCTTCATGGCAAACCAAACCAGCGCATGTATATCTTTCTAACTGACCTCCCATGACAACCCAAAACGAACAACAACAACAAAAGTAGCAAGGACAGAGACGCCGTCGCTGGATGGCAAAAATACAAATCCGCTCCATGCTGATCGGTCCAAAAGCAACGCACTTAGCCGCGGCGACCTCTGCCTCGCCCGCTGCCTGTTGTTCCCTGTCGGCTCATGGCCACGCCGCCGAGGCTGCTCTGTCTGCTCATGGGGACGGCCGACGCAGAGCACCCCGCTACAGACTGGTTGGAGCCGCCGTGGCCGGGGCTCGGTTGGTCTCGCAGGCCGCTGGTGGGGATGCCAAGAGAGTCGCGAAAGTTTTCGGGGTCTTCCCGCGCGGCGCTGGTGATGGCTACGAAACGGCCCTGCTGGTACGGGATGGAGACGGCTTCGAGGATTTTGCGCAGCCCAGTCGGGGCGTCGAGGTGTGCGCCGGGCTTGTGAGCGTGGTCGTACTGTTTGAGGAAGCCCATGACAGACAGGTCCGACACGATGTCGTCCTGTGAAAGCGGCACGGGGAAGTTCTGGTCGGCAGATCTGGGGTACGGTTTTAGGTATTGCTGGGGCACGTGAGGGGGCATCTTGGGGGGTTCTTGGGCATGCATCAGGTCCAAGTTGGCCGGGACTTCAAAGTTGGCAATGCCCTCGACGCCGAGAATCTTGTCGTCCAAGAAGTTTGTGTTTGTGCCGCCTCTGGTGCTGCGGGTGGCGTGCGACACCTGGCGCTCCATCATGGGCGCCGACGGAACAGAGTCGGCGTCGTTGTCGTCTCCGTTGCCCGAGTCACTGTCGTCGGGGGACGAGGCGTTGCCGTTGACACGGTTGCGCAGGATGTATTGATGCGCAGCCAAAGCAGCGCTGTTGTAATGCAGGGACAATTCTTTATCGGTGAAGAGCTTGTCGATGCTATAAATAGGGCCGTTTTGCTTCGCGACAGCACGTGCCTTTTCCGACTGCCACAGGGGAGTCGTGCTGTTGGGATCCAGGCCGCGACGCATGGGGCCGGGCGATCCGTCGTCCTCTCCGGGGTTTCGCTTTCGCTTCTTATCCGAAAACATTTGAAGGTCGTCGGCATCTTTGCGAAGTCTGGTGGCGCGCTTGCCGTGAGTTCCGCCGGGGCTACCAGGGTTTGTGAGAGAAAAGTGATTCGGGTTCAGGAGCAAGGCATTGGAATCGTTAATCTCCAGTACTTCCTTTTCCCTATTCAGTCGGTTCTTCTTTTGTGTCAGGGTGTTGATGAGTCGGTCGCGCAAAGTGGTGGTCAAGGCCATGTGCTCGCGGCGGGCCGTCTCGACCTTGTAGGCGTGGGTATTCTTGTACTCTTGTACTTTTCGTTCATATTCATTCTAAATAAACAAGGTCAATGTCAGTTGCATTCACAGACGAACTTTTCTTCGTGTCGTCTAATTTTCTCAAGGTGGGGAGGGAGGGGGTTCTCTTGTCTCGTCTAGCTCACCTTTGACTGTGTCAGTTGAAAATCACGAATCTCAATCAAATCCTCAATTTCGTCAATAAAGTTGGGAAACTTGATTCCAGCCATGTCCATGAGACTACGGGCAGACTCGGCATGAACCGGAGGTCCCTGGGTCTGTCTGTGTTCTCTTTGCAGCTCCGCGGCAACCTCCAAAGCGTTTGGGTCGTATGGATCGAATCGCTGCACGAGGCCAATCTCGTACTGGATCTTCTGCAGCTGGTCGCGGTACGTCATGTCCTGTTCGCGCTGAAACTTGTCCGTCATGCTGGAAAGGCGCTCCATGAGAGCCTGTCTCTTTCTGTCGCGCTTCGATTGTGACGCTGGAGGCGGAGAGCGTCGCTCGGCTTTGCCGCCAAGGGCGGAGGGGACGGTGTTGTCACTTGCGGCCATCTTCAGAGCTGGCAAAGTGGCCGCCGGTCCGAAACAGAGTCCAGTTGCCAGTGATGCAGGATGGAGAAAAGGGGCACACCAAGAGGAAATGTAGAGCAGTGTGGTGCGATTGCGGTGTTGCAAAGACTCTGCCCGTCTGCGCTCAGAGCACAACTTCTTCTGGGTGTGAGTCTCTATTCCACAACGAGCGGCCAAACGAGAAAGCAAAATCAACAGTGCTGCAAAATGCGCCTGCAACGATTGAAAGAGAGAGAGATAGAATGCGGATGGCAAGCAGCACAGAAGCACCACCTGTCAGTGAGGTCGGAGCGAGAACGACGACGACTTGACGACAAAGATGAGTGGCCGAGTGTAGCAGCGTAGCATTCAGGTCAGCCGAACAATCGTCAGTCAAGTCTGGTCTCGCCTTCGTTCTGCCCCGTCAAGGCGGCCTGGCTAGGTCGAACCCAAAGTCGTGTTAGTCGCGGACCCGCTCACCGCCTGCCGACTGCGCTTAAGGTTTAGGAGCGGGAGCTATGTGATTGGCTGGCAAGGGCTTGAACCACTCCAAAGGGGCATGGGGTGTTCCAATGTACAGTGCGAGACAATATCGATGGGCGACGCATGCACTGTAGGTTCACTCGAGCCGCCGCGAGGTCGATTCACCCGCGTGTTTCATGTCTTGATGGAGAAAGGTTTGCTCGAGTAGTACTCACGAGCCTGGCAGTTTCATCAGAGGACTGCTCTTCTTCAAAAGCGCCCGTGCGTTTCTGCCTTGCAAATTTGCATGTAGCCGCAATTGGCAATTCACCAAGACGCAGCCAACGTCGATCAAGTAGTTTCCATGGACAGATGTCATATACGTCTCCATATCACAAGTCTAGAGGGATATTTCCTCTCTCTACACCAGTTACTAGAAGGTTTCCACATCATCAACTTACCTCCGTCCCAGCAACACACACATCCAACGGCGAGACCGTTATTCACGTGCATGGTAGAGTCATGGCTCCAGATACATATACCATATATATACCAGCCCACAAGTCCATTCAGTCACAGCCCATCATCTACAGCCCGCTCCTCAATTTCTGCAACTGACTAATAAGTCCAAACCCGCCGGGAACCTTGGCCTCCTCGCCAGCACCCTCCTGGCCACCGGGCTTCTTCCCCTGAGAGCCCGTGGCGCGGCCCTCCCTCCTCGCCGCCTGATCCATCTCCCTCACCAAGTCCCTGTGCCTATCCTCGACCATCTTGGCCAGGCTCTCGATAAACTTGTTGCGGCTCTTTTCCTCCGCCGTGCCCTTCCACACGACACTCAGCTCCTTGAGCTCTTCGATCCTGGCGGCGGCCTTTTCAATGCCCTGGATGGGATCGTCGCTCTGCTGTAGAGAGCCCGCAATCTCGTCGCGCAGCTTCTGCAGCACTTGCTGGCCCTTTTCTTCGGAGCTCTGCTGCTCGGAGCCGGGTTCCGGCGCGGAGACGGACAGGAACCCCGAGCTGACGGACACTTCTGACGGCGGGAACGTAAAGTCCATGGCGTCGCCAAAGGTCTGGATGACGGACTCGAGGCGCGAGCGGACCAGCGTGAGTGTTTGCAGCTGCTTGATGTATTCTGGGTCAGGTGAGTCGTCGGCACTGGTGGCAGCAGCGGCATCAGCGGCATCAGCTGGCGGCGATGCCTCAACGCCGTCGTCCCTGTCCTCGACTTCATCCTTGGGGGCCTCCCTCCTGGTTTCGTGATTCGGCTTCTGCAGACCCCCCGGAATGAAAACCTCAATGTCCTCCTTGAGCGTCTCGTGCAACATTTCCGACAAGCCCAGCGTCTCGCCCCTCAGCAACTCCACCTCGTACGCCAGCCGGCTGCCGCTCCTCAAAATGTCGTCCGTCAGCTGTGTCAGCGTGTTAGACAGCCGTGTAGTCTGCGCATTCAGCTGCGACAGCAAGGTCTGTGCCTGGGCGGAGAGCTCTGCGAGCGGCACAGCACTGGCCGGCTGGGACGACACCTGCCTGCTGGCGAGAGGCGGCAAAGTAGCATTCAGGTAGGCGGCGGGATCAAATGAGGCATCTAAGAAATCGTGGAGAAGCTCGTCCGCGGTATGTGCCGACTTGGGCCGCGTGACTGGCTTGGACTGCTGCTCCTGCGCATGCCCGCCATTTCTGATGGTGAGTGTGGCCGCATTGCTGCTTGTCCGTCTGCGGGCATGTTTCTGCTCCGCCATTACGGCTGTGGTGGGTTCTCGGCCAACAGATGCTGGTGCTCCTTGTTCGACAAAACAAAAATTCATACACTCATTGGTCTGCTTTTGCCGGGCATGTAGTTATCTGAAGGGCGTTGATGCGCACCAAGACGTGACGAGTTGTGGTTCTACATGGCGAAAGTGGACCAGCCGATGATGACCCGACTCACTCCAACGCCAGCCAAACTCATCACATAACTCGACGTCGTTTCTGAACCCTCGCTTCACCTGGCCTTGCCGCAGAATCATCCAGGCCAGATGAATAGAAAAAAACTGGGGAAATGAGCGAAGCCGAGGAAATGCGCGTCGACCCCATGAGAGCCCAAGCTCTCATCTCGCAGCTGTCGTCGGTCAAGGAGCGCATCGGTGCCCTCGCAAATGGTCGTGATGCAAGTAGACGTGGACCTCCGCAGCACACATCGTCTACTGCCAACGGCACAACACCGTCAGCTAACACACCACAGGTCAGGCTCGTCGCCGTGTCCAAGCTCAAACCCGTCAATGACATCCTCGCCCTCCACCAGGCACCCGCCTCCCACCGTCACTTTGGCGAAAACTACACCCAGGAGCTCACTCAAAAGGCACAGCTCCTCCCCAAGACCGTACAGTGGCACTTCATCGGCGGCTTACAATCAGGTACTCACCTCTTTCTCACTTGGCCGGTCCACAGCGGCCCGTTGACACCTCCCAGGCCACTGCAAGACACTCGCCAAGATCCCCAACCTGTTCTGCGTCTCATCCGTAGACACCCTCAAGAAGGCAAACCTCCTCAACACCGCGCGCGGCGCCCTCCTCGCCTCGGATCCGTCGCTCCCAAAGCTTTCTGTCCACGTGCAAGTCAATACGTCCGGGGAGGAAGCCAAGTCTGGCTGCGCCCCGGGCAAAGAAACCGTGGCGCTGTGTCGCGAAATCATTGGCAATTGCCCGAACCTGCATCTCCTGGGGCTCATGACCATTGGCGCCATCGCGCGGAGCAAAGCTACGACTGCGGAGAATGAAAACGAGGACTTCATCGCGCTCAAGGAGCAGAGGGATTTGGTGGCCAGGGAGCTGGCGCTGGACCATGGGAGGTTGGAGCTGAGCATGGGCATGAGCGAGGACTTTGAGGGGGCCGTCGTTTTGGGGAGCGGCGAGGTGAGGGTTGGCAGTACGATTTTCGGCACGAGGCCCGCAAAGGCTGATGCAAGAATTAAGGAGTAGCTGTACCATTGGTGCTGTACAGGGAGAACATGTTTCAGCACCTTGATTTGTATCAGTGAGGGCCGCGGCAGCCAACTGGAATCATGGACGTCAAATTGAAAAAAAAAAAAAAAAAGGGAAAAATTTCTTTGAAATCGAAATCCTGGATTTGGCCCACATAAAACGAAATACTTTCTGCGTCCGGACTATGCTTTTCACAACCTTCCCATGCACATTCCAAAAGTCAAGCTTTCTCCACAACTCCAAACTGCTTCCCGTTCCAAAGCCACTCTGCACTTGCCAAAACCGCAAGCACATGTTTTGGACAGAATATGATAAACTTGGCACCCGTCTACGTGACCATGGTGTTTCCAAACGCTTCTGAAATTTCCTGACGCGTCGGCGGTTCACGGTACTCGGGGACAGTCGAGACCCCCTGAGCCAGTCTCTCCTGCATGAGTTTCAACATGACTGCCGGTACCGAGTCGTCCGTGGCGCGGATTGTAAGTCGGATCGTCTGCAAATGTTTGTCAGTCAGAGCAATCAGTATGCGGGTTGGCCAGCAAGGGCTCCCTACCTGGCTAGAATAGTTGGGCTCCAGACGCAAGAGACAGCCAAATTTTCCTCCCTCCGAGGTGTGCAACACGCTAGCGCCAACAATGTTCTTTGGGTTGGGATCAACCATGTCCAGCACACGCCATCGGAAGCCCTCGACGGTGTCGACAACAAACTTCTCCGTGATTTCTCTCGTGTTGCTCTTGCCGCCTGTGAGCCCGAAAATCGACTGTGCCTCGCGAGATCCCGCCCCAATCTGCTTCCAGCGCTTGAAGAAGTCTTCGGCGGAAAGATCCGCAGGGTCCATGAACTTGTGAGCGGCGAGGGGCAGCTTCAATGTCACCGCTTGCAAAGCGCCCGCAAGATAACTGATTCGCACCGTCGGGCTCTTCTCGAAGACCTTCTTGGACTCAAACAGGGTGACTTGTTTCGTTTGTCCTCCGGGGGCAATGGTACTGTCGGGAAGCTCTCTGACATCCCAAGCCAAGTTGCTCTTCTCGCTCTCGTCAAGATCCAAAGTAGTTGTGAAGGAAGTCATGGGCGACGGCGACTTGTTGGAAAAGTACGCAATAATGCAAGCAATCTGTCCGCGGTATTCGGACCGGACACCGATTTGAAGCTGGCCATCTTCGTACAAGATACCATCCGACCGGAGCATGAGTCTGTCGAAGCCCTTTTCCCAGCCCGGGGACAAGTGAGCAGCGCTCGCCAGGTTGGGAGCCTTGAGCATCTTGGGCTCCGACGGCGATGGGGCGTTCATATCCAGGCCCGCAAGATCGTTGGCACCGTTGGCACTCCCATTGGCTCTTCCACCGTTGATTGCAGCAGCGGAGCTAAAGGTCCTTTTAAGGCCTCCCGGCTTCGCCATACCGAGCTCGGTGCCATCAGAATTGGCATCCTTGCCTCCAACGACCCACGTACGGCGGTCACTGGTGTTTGCGTGCTTCTGGTGGAGTCGGGAAAGAAGTGCAGACTCCCGTTCGGGAAAAGGCGGCATCTCATCACAAACTGTTCTCAGCAGATCGTCGGTGGGCATGTTCGCCAGAGTGAGATATTCGCACGCTCTTTGCTGCATCTCCGAGTCCAACGTGTGACTGTACACCTCGAATGTGTGGAGCAACTGCGGTTTGATTTCAGGGAACAGGTTGACGAATTTGATGAAGCATGACAAGATCATGGCCCGAGTGCTAGGAGAACAACCAGACAGCTTCCCCTGGAGAGCCATGAACTGCTCAATCGGGCTGCAGCGAGGTTGATCGGCGACCAAGTGGCCGAATTCGCCTAGGATATACGCTCCAATCTTGACCAATGTCTCGTGGCAGTGGTCTGATTTAACGTACTGCAAAGCGGTTTGTGCCGCATAAACCTGAAGCTCTTCATTGTTGGTGACAATCTGAATTACTCGTTGCCACACCTCGTCACTAACATGATCACCAGCCATGGCGATCAGACGCAACGAGATATCGACGTACCACTGGACATCGGTGGCATACTTCTCCGTGAGAATGGCAATCTTAAGAACCATTTCCTCTCGAATGGCAAAGTCTGCGTTCTGAAGAAAGTGCAGCAATTCGCCAACAATGATCCTGGCGTTGGTGGCGTCGCACATGCTGTACAGCAGATCCAACCCCTTTCTGCGAACACTGATGTCTCTGTCTTTGAGGGATCCGAGGATAATGTCTTGGTGCTGCTTGATGGGTATGAGGGTTTCTGTTCGGGCGGCCAGATGTGTCATGGCCTCCAGACCGAGATACCGCACATTTGTCTCCCTGCTCTGAATGAATCGGCCCAGTCGAGAAGAAATCTGCTTCATGAGCGCATGCTCGGTATCAAGGTGGATAATCAGATTGATGGCTTCAAACAAGACTGCATTCTGGGCGTTGTTCTGCTGAACATTCTTGTTGGCTTCCATTGCTAGGTTCAGGATTCGCTGCAAAGACTCTCGAATCATGTCTCGGACATGAGTGTCCTCTGCGTTGTTGCACATATCAGCACGTAGACCATGCACAGTGGACACGAGAGCAGAACATACCAGAGGGTGGAAAGTACTGGAGAAGTCTCAAAAGCTTGATCTGTAGCCAAGGACATGGAACTTTGTAGTAGAGGTAGTCTATGGTGTATTCGCCATCAATAATGATGCGCTTGAGTCGCGCGGCTGCCTTTGCATAAGCACCCTTGTATCCGTCGAGATTGTCTTGCGCAAGAGCCATGACGAGCGACGTGACAGACAGGGCGACTCCCAGATCGACATCATCCATGAGATGAATGATGCGCTCGGCCCACTGGGGAGAGACGATGTCGGGATACTTGCGGTAGAGCCGCAGCAAAGTCAGAGCGGCCTTCTTCTTGACAAACGACTTTGAAGTTCTGCAGCCATGTTAGCATGTGAAGGTGCTGATGGGCCAGCCAGCTGATGAAGGCTCACGGTGAGATTAGCAGTCGGTGAACCTCGGAGCTAAGCGCCTCGCCCATCTCCCGGCCTCCGACATTGGCAATGGCGTGCAGAGCCAAGCAGTTGAAAAGCTCGTTGTGATCCAACAAATCCTTCCGAATGCTATTGACGACAAGATGTAGCAGCTCGTGCTTCTCGTGGAGGAAGAGCGTCATGGCAAGGTAGCCAATCTGCTTCTCTGAAAACTTTTGTGCCGAGATGAGATTGACTGCCTCGAGGTGGCCAAAGTCAACGTTCCAGCCCAGAATGTAAATGTACAGCAGCTTGCAGACATATTTCTTCTTGTGGTAGCCGCTGAGGTTGCCATCCTTGAACTTTTGTCGAATGTTGGCCAGCTCCTTGTTGATTCGCTTCTCTTCTAGCTCACGAGCTCGGGCGTTTCTCAAGTCGGCGATGAACTGCACCAAACCTCGCATGTTGGCATTGCTGCTGCTTGAGCGGCCGAGAAAGCCGCTTCCTGGAGCCGACATGGTTGGACTTGTCGGGCAGCCCCTGACTCACGTCTCCTTTGCCTAGGATGCCGCGGCGAGGAAGTTTTGTCGGCGCGGTAATTTCGGCGAGAATAGGGATTATATGTCAATTAGGTGCAGGTCCGATGGCATAGCCAAATGCCTGGCGCCAACGGCAACGGATGGTTCGGCGTCGCTCGTTCGTTTGCCGCTCAGCGATGGACGATGGGCGGGATACGCGGCAAGGGGTCGAGGTTCAAAGCTTGCCTCTCCCAAATGCTGCCTTCCAGAGCTGCGCCGTCGGCCAACCTATACTTGAGTTCTGGATATCTCCGCCACAGGCATACGGCAGACTGAAGCTCCCACGTGTGCGGACGGATGGCGAGTTGCTGAGCTCGGGAGCTCTGACAATCTTGAAGAGGGAGGGGTCTACTCGGTGCTCCGTACCCTCCGTCGTCAGGTTGATGTCTGGTCGGGTAACTGACCAGTCTCGTTCTTCAGCAGACCAGGGTCCTTGGAGTGCGGAGGCCCCTTGGGCGGCCAACAGGGGACAGTGCTGCCCATTGGCGCCTGTCATCGCCACCAGATGACACTCAAGCGTCCTGGAAATTGATTACGGGGGCAACGCATCGTTAAATGCCAACCAGTTTGAAGCCGACGTGCCCAAAGCGCCACCCAGCCCGCACTTCATTGGTCAGCATGGACGGTAACCTCCAACCTTCAAAATATCGAGTGTCAACATTAAAGCGAATGACATCCATGGCTTGAATAGCATCACATCCCGCCCGCCGTCTCCCACCGCATGCATTGCCTGCGGACCCCTCCGAATGTAATGTCAGCATGCACGCGACCACGCCCGCTGGGCAACGTCCTGCATAGACTGTCGCCCTTGTCCGGCCTTTCTCCCCAAGCCACCAGCCGACGAACATACGCCGTCCATTCCACGGGCGCCCCGCGATTCCAAGTCTTTAACCGACGGACGAAATGGCTTCAAAAGGAGCGCGCAGCTTCCAGGCCCCAGGAAAGCCGGCAAGCAGACTACCTGAAGGATGAGGTGGCCGTCCGGGTCTCTGAGCGACTACTTGTACGATTTACCGCGGCCTGCCTTCAACACGCTTTCGCGCTCAAACTCGCACAATTGCTAACAGGCGGCCCGTCCTCCCTTTTCGTCTTCAAATAGGACATCAACCGACACTTTCCCAAAGTCCTAGACCTGGGCGCCAACTCATGTAACCTAGCCAGAGCGCTCGTCCGCGAGAACCCCGACCCCGACCCATCCACGCCCACATCACCGCCTCTATCGAGGCGCATATCCGAATTGATCGCCGCCGACTCCTCCGAAACTCTCCTGTACCGCGACTCAGACCACGACTTCAACAGGAAGCTCAACATTACTCGGCAAGTCCTTGAAGACGAAGAGAGCATCCCCTTCGGACCAGATTCCTTCGACCTGGTCATGAGCTCGCTCAGCTTGCACTGGATCAACGACCTCCCCGGCGTCTTGTCCCAGATCAACAGCATCTTGAAACCGGACTCCCCCTTCATCGGCGCCATGCTCGGCGGGG